ATTTTCGCTTCATTTTCTACTCATCCAAACAATATACTACCTCCGTCCCGCTATATTCGTCCACTTTTGACTTTTGGAACTGTTCATCTAAGCACTTTGACTCATCTAATTCTCTCAATGTGTAAGCCTAAATATAGTCATGTGTGATCTTGTTTGATTTGTCTTAACATATAGATTATTAATATATAATTTCTATAATTTTTTAATATACAAATTACAAGATAAAATGAATTAAAGAAGTGCGTTGGATGGTGCGTAAAAATGAAAGTGAACAAATATAGTGGGACGGAGGGAGTATTCTCTTTACTTTCTCCTCAGTCTATCTTCTCTCCATCTCTGTTTTTCCAATTTCTGTCTCATTCTCTTCTCATCCTAACAAAGATTATCAAATTTTAGAAACCTATTGCATAAGGTCATGTGGAAAGTATAGTCCAAAAATATAGATCAATTCTGTCTCCAAAACTTCGCCTACTCGTCTTTTGGGCTACTATTATTATGACTCATTGCATCTCAAATTAGTTATCCCATAGCAAATTACAATGGTTCATTAATTAATTTCCAATTTTTAATTTATTTGAGAAAAAGTACAAAATGTTAAAATAAGACTTATATATTAAGAACACCATTAAGGTTGTGTTCCGTTCACTTGATCTGGTCTTATTTTTTTGAAGATTTGGTCTGATCTTTTCTGATTGCAGTTATAATTAAACCTATTTCTGATGTAATATGATCTGGACTAGTCTAGTCTAGTTATAATAAGAATAAGTAATAAGTAGAAAAAAATAAGTCGAATAGGTAAAACAAGAGCCGACATTACTATGATTTTACTACGGCAGGAGAGATCAGAATCATCATTCTATTCTTAAAAGCAGGGGAAAAATGCACCAGCGTTTTCCCGCCCAAATGCAAAGCAATCTTAACCGTTGATTCTTAGAAAAAATGAGATCTACGGATGATATATAATCCAGTGTTTTAAGATCGAATAAGAAAAGTTATTTCTCTTGGTACCATTAATAAAGAAAAAGGTAAAGAATCAACAAACATGGAAATATCGGACCAAAATAATCCACCGTTGTATACAAAATTTAAAAGGAAAGAAGAAATTGTATTTTTTATGGGAACATTTTTAAAAAGTAAAGAATTAACAAACAAGGAAAGAAGAAACCCTTTTTTCATGAGAACGTTTTAAAAAAAAGTAACAAACTAACAAACAATGATATATATATATATATATATATATATATATAGGACCGATGCTATTGTTATAATTATTTTTTAATTATTATTATTCTTATTATTATTATTATTATTTATATTATTATTATTATTATTATTATTATTATTTAATAATCGTGATTAAGTAGGGACATGATAAAGATTTAAAACCATGTTTTTTATGAGAAATCATTCTATTCTTAAAAGCAGGGGAAAAATGCACCAGCATTTTCCCGCCCAAATGCAAAGCAATCTTAACCGTTGATTCTTAGAAAAAATGAGATATACGGATGATATATAATCTAGTGTTTTAAGATCGAATAAGGAAAGTTATTTCTCTTGGTACCATTAATAAAGAAAAAGGTAAAGAATCAACAAACATGGAAATATCGGACCAAACTAAATATGTAATTCACCATTGTATACAAAACTAAAAAGGGAAATATCGGACCAAAATAAATATGTAATCCACCGATGCTATTATTATTATTCTTTAAAATTGTGATTACTTTAGTACATAAAATATATTTAAAAATATATTTTTTAATGAGAAATCATTAAAAATAGTAAAGAATTAACAAAAAAAGAAATATAGGACCGATGACATTATTATTATTATTATTATTATTACTTAGAAAAGCAAAGGAGATTATTTTTAAAATATAGTATGTTTTCAATGCAAACAGAACTAAAATTTGAAGTTAGCGTTTTAAAGTAATCTACATCGTTAAAATTTTATCCAAAGCGCTACAATATATGAATGAAAATAAAGAGGAATGTTTATTCTAATTTTCCTTAATACTCCCTCCGTCCATAATTAATCTTCCTGCTTTGACTTGGTGCGCAAATTTAGGTGGGGAGGGTATTTGAGTCTTTTTAACTTATAAAACTTACTAAAAAGGAAATGAGAAGTTTATTTGTGGACATCCCAAATAGGAAAGTGGGAAGATAATTTATGGACGGAGGGAGTAATATATTTATTATTATTTGTAGAACGGACATTATTAGATAATTATGGTGTGGTTGAGATTGAAAGCACATTTGAATGGTGCTACCTTGGTTGTAAGACATGCAACAGTAAATTTATTCCAAATGGTTTGTGATTTTAATGCAAGAAATGCAAGAGATATTATCTCGATGGAGTGTATAGGTTATATCATTTATATTTTTTTAATTAAATAAATTTACAACATTTTAAAATTTTAATAAAAATGATATTCTATTTATTAGGTACAAGGTAAGCGTATGTGTTATAGACAACTCAGACAGTGCTTCTTTATTACTTTGGGATAAAAAATGTGTAAACATTTTCGGTATGCAGGCTAGCATGATGAAAATCTTGATCTACGAGATATTGAAATTCTAATAAAATGTTTTTAATTGATACTTTCAAAAAGATTGTTGCTTGACTTAATGTAATAATTTATATCCATGGACAATATAACGACATGATGACCCAAGAAAGATTCCAAAGGAGATTATCGGAATAATTCATGAGAGTGCTCTATTCAATGTATTTGTAAAGAGAGATATCGAGAATTAGTCTGATTATGTTAGGAATAATTCTTATGGAGTGTATGTCCTTATTTAGGATAAGTCAATTATCTCAAAGTATGAAGCTATTGAAGCGGACGATGACTTTGACCAAATGTGTAAGGAACATGTCAGATTATTATAACAGAAGCCGGTGTTTAGTCATGGACAATCATATGTTGCGATTTCAAAAATAACAAATCGTAATAGCTTGAAGATTCTTATTGACGATGCAGAGCATGTTTCCACAAAATGTACTACTAATGTAATTTATAAAGAAGTTTTCCAGAATTTGTAATTTATATGATATTAATGTTTTACATAAACAAAAAACATTATATTTCATTATATGGTGTACTTATTTACTTTTATAATAATGCCAACATAAATTTATAACGTTAATACAAATCGTGCAACACACGGGTGTGATACTAGTATGTGGCAACACAAGAGAAAAGCCTATGTAACAAATGTAGATACTCTTTGTGCAAATGTCATAACAATTGATGAAAAGCAAAACACATGAAATGGTCTATGTCAAAAGCTTAAGATTAGCACTGGACCACATTATGGGCAAAGACTTGATGGCAATGAATCAATACTTTGGAGGTGGCTTCTGGGTGGGCAACAAACCGAAACGCTTTTTTAGGAGGACTCTCTGCCTCGAGTATTTGTCATCTGGGGAGAACCGAGCTGCACAAAATTTGTTCGTGTTAATAAGCCTTGATGTCCAAAACCATATCGTCGAAATACTTACAAAAGATTGTGTTAAATCTAACTGCATGAGAGTAGCTGGTAATGTGGAGGGGCAGAAGAAAAACCTGGATGAGCAGATTGTGTGGCCAGTCCCAGCGGAGATTCTTTCTGAAAGTTAAGAAGGCAATAACATCAGGCAACACGAAACTGGGGTTCCAAACAAAATTGAAATATCATAGCTTTTGCCTGCTCCCTTTGTTCTTTTTTCAACTGACCCTTGTGATATTTTTTGATTCATTAAAGCATGAAAGAACGTAGACATGATGTATGTCTATGTTAATTCAGCTTTTGATGTTTTGCAAAAATCATAGTCATCAGAGTGAATGGAGAGAGAATTTTGTTATTTCTATTAAAGAGATTTATGAGGGACTTGCGGTTGGTCCCTCTAGGCATCTGTTACAATGGATACCTAAAAGTGTCATTTTTCTAAAGATGTAGGCATCATAGCGAACCAAGAGTCTATGGGTATAAAGAGCATTGGTTTTCTGAGATGCCCATTAAAACTTTCATTTTAGATCCCTGCTACATCACATCTCGTATAGGGAACAAGACGGAGATTGAATTCTGGCATGAATTGCATTGGTGGACAAAAACGATGCCCAAGAATTCTCGCCAGACGCAAGGACCCTAACCTAAAAAATGAAATCTAAAATCATGCTCCTGATACTTGAAACTTTCAGAGATGTGTTTCATATAACATAACCACAATGTTGATTCGGCCTATTGTAGATTCAAGTTCAGAAAAAGCATCCATTGGAACAACAAACTAAGTATAGTCCAAACAGTTTCATCTTCAAAGAGGCTAAAACAAAAGAGAAATAAACTCTGCTCTCTTTACCAAACACTTCTAATAATGCCCAAAAAGAAATCTTTTGGAAAACACTTCAAATACCAATAAAAATCCCTCTTTCTTCATAAAGACTCACCAGGAAGCTCCTGGCCAAACAAGCTCTTAGTACAATCAAAGATGCAGATAACCAAAAAAAATTGATATAGCAAAAGACCTAACCGCACAATAAGTATGAAGGAGGGAATTTTCAAAAAAGAAAAAGAAAAAAGAGGAATTGCTCACTGTTCATACCTTGGTTGTATAGACTTTGTCGCCCTTTTCGTTTATGTAGAAATGGAGATACATGGTAGCTTCTTCAAGAAAGGATCTGTCAAAATACCCAATAAATAAATAAATAAATAACGTAAATTCGATGAAAAATTTCAAAAAGAAAAAACATATACGCAAAACCCACATGAGAATTAGCAGAAAGATTCGATCTTTTTCACTTTGTTTATTAGGTTCTTCTCGTCTAGATGCAGAGAGATTATAGGGTTTTGCACTCCCCGCCGCAGGAGCCCAAACCGGGATGGTCGGATGGATATAATATGCTTGTGAGGGTACGAAACTAATTTTATTTTGCAAAGGGTGACCAATTTTTTAAACTATTGCTGAACATACCCCCGTAAATGTATATATTCCTCCAACGGCCCCAACTTCAATTACACAGACGTGTCACCATGTGTTCCTCAGAGCTCAAACAGGCTCAAAGACGACCAGGGAGGAGAGTATCAGACAACGTAAATGAACACCGGAAAGCAGTGTGGAGATCGAGGGGGAAGAGAAGAAAATGGCGGCGGAATCAAACAGCATAGAAGTGAGGGGCATGCAATTCTCGTACGATCTCCAGGCACCATTGTTCTTCGATTTCAGCGTTAGGGTTCCTCCCGGATCTCGATGTCTGCTCGTCGGCGCAAATGGATCTGGTACTTACCCGCTATAGTAGATCCACAGTTTTTTCAAATTCCTAAAGAGAAAAAAGAAGTCATTTTTATGCGTTTTTTTTTTTGTTTTCTTTAAAGGGAAGACGACTCTGCTTAGAATTTTGGCTGGGAAACATATGGTTGGTGGCAAAGATGTGGTGCGCGTGCTAAATTCTTCAGCTTTTCATGATACGCGCCTGGTTTGTAGTGGTGATTTGGTTTATCTTGGAGAATCTTGGAGTAAAAATGTTGGCTCTGCTGTAAGACAATCCCTTTGTTTCTTTGTTTAATTTCGTTTCCATATTTGAGGATGTTATTGGGGAAAAAAAATAAAGCTGATGTTTTTGATGATTCTGAGATTTTTTCAGGGGGAAATGCCACTCCAGGGAGACTTCTCGGCTGAGCATATGATATTTGGAGGTGATCTGAATCTTCTTCTTTGTTTGTTCATCTTTAAATTACTTTATGCTATTTGTTCCATGAGATTTTATTTAATTCATATTTCAGATTCTGAACTTAGACCACTGAATGTGCCTGATTTGTTATGACTATTAAGAATCCGATTTCAATTATTTGCGACGATGGGATTTTGTTTCAACTTTCAACGCGTTCGTATGCATTATTTCTGTGTTCTTAACCCAAAGTTCTGACTTTTCTGGACTTTAGATTTCAAATATGCCAACTCTAATTGCCACTATTAAAGAAATTATTATCTACTTTCAATATGTTGAGCACTCCAAAGTTCAAACTGTTGTGTCTTTTGAAATACTGCTGAAATTGCACACATTGCTATAATTTTGAAGTTTGGATTTGATGTTGTTATATGAAATTCAATAAACTCATTTTTTTATGTTATCTTGCTGTGATTCAGTTGAAGGAGCTGATCCTAGTAGGAGAAAAAAGCTGATTGAATTGCTTGATATTGATCTGCACTGGCGGATGCACAAGGTCTCTGATGGTCAGCGGCGTAGAGTCCAGATCTGCATGGGCCTTCTTCATCCATACAAAGTAAAACCTCATTCCTTGCTTGTTGTCCCAAAATGTTCTTGTTTCCTTTTTCAGGTGTCCTGAAATTCCCTTCTTGTTTCCTTGTAAAACAACAAACCTAGTGAAATTCCATGAGTAGGGTTTGGGTAGGGTGTTCGTAGTCATACCTTACCCCTACTTGGAAGTAGAGAAGCAATTTCCAAGATTCTTGTTTCCTTGGAAGGAAAGATTTGTGTGGTTTGTAACTTGGTATTCTAAATAAACTTCTCAACCATACATTTACAATTTCTTAATAGGGTCATTAGGGTGCCAAGTTAAAGCTCAGAGAATTATTGGACTGGTCAAGTAATGTATGTGGGCTAAAAGATGAAGAAAAAGTTTGAGAAATCCCATCTATTAAAACGTAACTTAGGGAAGACCTTTGTGATTATAAAATATAATTTGTAAAAATATTATTCTTATATAATGCTCGTACTGTCTCTTTGTGAGATTTTACTGGATCCTCCTTGGATCATTTTTTTGTGAGATTTTACTGGATTTGTTATTGTTGTATATTATACTCGCAGAATTTTCATAGAAGAAGTGGGCCCATGACTCTCGGGCCTAAAAGAGGCCTTCTCATCGGGACACCATGTCGTATTTCTATATATGAAAGGAGGTGTTGTACATAATGTAATGTGGACAGTATTTCCATGTTTTTCTGTTGTCATCTCAAGTGTATGTATATGAACAAAATGTTTGATGACAATGATACTATCAAGTAGTACTGAGAAATATTACTTGTGAATTTATCTGAGCATTATAATTTTCATTCTTTTACAGGTTCTTTTGCTAGATGAGGTTACCGTTGACCTAGATGTTGTAGCAAGGATGGATTTGCTCGACTTTTTTAAAGAAGAAAGTGAACAGGTACTGTTGAATGAAGTTCATAGTTTGACTTCACGAACTTAAAAAAAAAAGAAGTGTTGAAAAGTGAAAAACCGTCGTCCGTTCAGAGCATTATATCTGTTTTTTTTCCCATGTCTCTTATCATCTATGTCTTGCTGATGATGTCAGAGGGGCGCGACGATAGTGTACGCAACACACATATTTGATGGGCTGGAGACATGGGCAACGGACCTGGTCTACGTCCAAGATGGGGTTTTGAAGAAGTCTGAGAAGTTGTCTGAAGTTGATGAGCTGAAGACATGCCCCAATTTGCTCTCTGTGGTGGAGACATGGCTTCGCTCCGAGACCCCTATGGACAAAAAGAAAACCGCCGGCAATCTCCCGGCGGCACCGCCGCGTGACAAATCTTCCCCCTTTGATGCCTCTCCCTTTCGCTCGTCGAGACACATGGCGTATTACCGCTGATGCACTCCCTCGGCGCGTCTTCTTGTTTGGGAAGGAGAAAAAAAACAATGGGAAAATGATATGAACCCAAAAGGTGTTTTTATACGTGTGATATGTGATAAAGAGCAGCAAAAGCTGCGATAAATTGGCTTCTTTCTTTTTTCTTTTTTCAAAATTTTATTTGAGGATTCATAGTTTGTATCCTACTCCGGGTACTATTTAATACACAGGTTTACATTCTTTTCTTTAACTTTTTTTGTGTGACATATGTGGTTGACACTAATACAATTACTATAATTACAATTTATGTATTTGTGTGTGTTACGGAGTACTAGTGTTCCCCTGTTGTGTTGCCAAGTTCATGAAAATTTGGTTAATTGTTTACTATTCACATGGTCAATTTGCATTCATATTCTTTTCTTATTTTCATTATTCATTTAAATAAAATAATATAGTCATGTCACTTCTTGTTTTTTAGAATTTTTTATATAATTTTGATGAATAATATATAAAGTTTATTTTTAAATTTTACTTCAGTTGTTTAATACTCCCTTCGTCCCAAAAAGATTTACACAATTTGACTAAAGTTGAAATTAAGGGAGGGATTATTTTGTGTTGACTTTCCAAAAATACCCTTGATGTGATGGGTAAAAGTAGAATGTGATGTATAGATTATTAGGAAAAAGGTATGATGTGATAGGTAGGGTTTGAAAAAGTAAAGAGTAAAAGTGGTTTTTTAATAGAAATGGGTAGGTGATTGTGGGACGCAATTTTTTTGAAAGGTGTAAATCTTTTTGGGATGGAGGGAGTATATTGCATTGAAATTAACTTCTGGTAAATAATCAAAGTGTACTTTTTATTCACAAGAGTACATGTGGCCTAAGTAGGAGTACATTTTAAATTATTAGAATTTTTTTACTATATTTTTCATTTCCATGCAATGGTTTTTTTAATTGAAAGTATTTCATTCAAGCTGGACTAAAAATATTACTGGAGTACGTAGTACAAGAAAAATTATCATACAAGAAAAATTCTCATTGGACAACTGAGTAAAAGTGAAAAAGAGTAAATTGTATAAATGGTTCCAAATTAGATGTGGTTTTCCATATTTAGTCACCAATTCTTCAATATTTCATAATTCGTCTTTAATTTTTTAAAATTATTTTATAAATAGTCTTTTAGCCCAAATATGTCAGAATATTTTTTTCACAAATAGTCCGTGAAGGGCCGATTATGAAAAATAATTTTCAAAAACTGAGGACTATTTATTAAATATCCAAGAATTGAGAACTAAATATGAAAATGAACCTATAATTAGAAACTATTTATTATTACGGAGTATTATTATTATTATTACAGAGTATTATTATTATTATTATTATTATTATTATTATTATTATTATCAATCATCCAAGTGTTCTTCTCATAAAACAATTCTTACTCCCTCCGTCCCCTGTATTTATCCACTTTCATTTTTGCATACCATCCAATGCACTTCTTTAATCTATTTTATCTTGTAATTTGTATATTAAAAAATTATAAAAATTATATATTAATAATCTATATGTTAAGACAAATCAAACAAGATCACACATGACTATATTTAGGCTTACACATTGAGAGAATTTGATGAGTCAAAGTGCTTAGATGAACAGTTCCAAAAGTCAAATGTGGACAAATACCCACGAGTATAATCCAACTGCATCCACGTATCCTCTGTGTCCATTTCTGCACATCCAATTGTTTTTGAGGCACGCGTTTCAATATTACTGTTCCGGCGATTGGATGGTTCTCCCCGTCTTCTTCTCCGACGCCAAAATCCCGACGGTGACGTGAACAGATCCCTCTCTTTCTTCTCTTCTTCTTGCCCCTGCATTGCTTCAAGGTTACCCAAGTTCCATCAACGAAAAAAAATATGCATCCGCAGCGGTGTAAGGTGATCTATATCTATATGCTTCATGATTTTTCCCGTGTTGTTTTTTCTTTCTCGGGAGCCTGAAATTCATCACAAATTTCTAATTTCTATGGAGCTCGTGTTCTGTTTAGGTTAAAATTTAGTGGATTGGATTGGGTTATGCATTGACAATGATGAATAAATGCGCGCATATGTATTTATGGTTTGATTAATGCTTTTTTTTTTCCTTGTTGGATTTGGACATTTAGGGGATGAGTGAGTAGGAAGAGGTGATAATGAATGACATTGTTAGGGGAATTCATAGTCGTGCCCTCATATGTTGATGGGGGAGTAGATGGATGCAGCTAGGAGCTGGTTCCAGAAGTTCCAATCGCGGGATCGTTTGAGAGCATCGTCCAAGAAGAAGGATTTAATGGCGGGTGGTAAAGAAGATTCTAATCATTTATCGGCCGAGGAAGCCTCCAATGTTACCAAACAGAAAGTTGCTGCGGCGAAGAAATACATAGAGAATCATTACAAAGAGCAGATGAGGATTCTGAAGGAGAGGAAGGAGCGGTATGGCGTACCTGCATTGGCTTTGGCCTTCCATGACTTGCAATTATAAATACATTCTGTTTTTAGTTTGAATATGAAAGTTTTAAGTTTAGTTCGCCGTAAGATTATGGAAAATTTGGTTTGGCATGCAGCCGAAGCTTACTAGAGAAAAAACTTGCTGATGCCGATGTCTCAGAAGAAGATCAAAATAATCTTTTGAAGTTTTTGGAGAAGAAAGAAACCGAGTATATGCGACTCCAAAGGCACAAAATGGGTGCCGATGATTTTGAGTTACTGACAATGATTGGGAAGGGTGCATTTGGTGAGGTGAATTGAATGCCATATTTTCATTTATTCCTTTTGCTGAGAGTATGGTATCTCATTTCTTTTTCTTTTCTCCAAGAAAAACTCAACCCTCTATTGCTTTCTAGATTTTAATTGCAATGTTTTCACTTAGAGTATGGTAGTTCATTTCATCTCTTTTTTTATAAATTAAAAAAGAAGAAGAAGAAGCACCAGTGACTTTAATGTACAGGTCAGGATTTGCAGAGAAAAGACAACCGGGCATGTGTATGCTATGAAAAAACTGAAGAAATCAGAAATGCTTCGCAGAGGACAGGTTTGTAATTACCAGCTTAGAATGGTGTTAGCTTGGCTTTCTATTCACAATGCACATTGGTATTTAACTTGTGGATTGTGTCAGGTTGAGCACGTTAAAGCTGAAAGGAATTTGCTTGCAGAGGTTGACAGCAATTGCATAGTCAAACTGTATTGTTCTTTTCAAGATGAAGAGTATCTATACCTTGTCATGGAATATCTACCTGGTGGAGATATGATGACTTTACTTATGAGGAAGGACACTTTAACTGAAGATGAGGCGAAGTTCTATGTGGCAGAAACCGTCTTGGCCATTGAATCAATCCACAAACATAACTATATACATAGGTCATTTCATGTTCTCATGCCATTTGTCAATTTATTAATCTTTAGTACGTATTCACTGAGTGGACTTTTCATTATTTGCTGCAGAGATATCAAGCCTGATAATCTGCTACTGGACAGATATGGTCATCTAAGACTCTCGGATTTTGGCCTATGTAAACCTTTAGATTGCAGTACCATACAAGAGGGGGATTTCTCAGTGGGGGAGAATAATGGTACAACTTCAAAGGGCTGTGAACAAACTGCTACTCCTAAACGCACTCAGCAAGAGCAACTACAACATTGGCAGAAAAATAGAAGGATGCTTGTAAGTTTTAAATCCAGTTTTTTGTTTTCCACTTTTCACGATTTTTTTATTCAGACCACCTATTGGGCATTGGAGTTGTTCCTTAAGTTAACTGGTAGGTAGTACTATTTGATTACATAATGATTTTGGTGCACTATAGTTCCACTTAAACTTTTATTCTGTTAAATAGTGGTTTTATTCTTTGATATCGTCTTGATTCTTTGGAAATGCATTGTTTTTTGCTGAAATAAGTTCCCTATTTTTTGTTCATGCTGGGGCATTACAGGCTTATTCCACTGTGGGTACACCAGACTATATTGCTCCAGAGGTTTTGCTGAAGAAAGGTTATGGGATGGAATGTGACTGGTTAGTTTGTTGCATTTTATGAGAACATCCCTGTATCTTTTAATAACTGGGGTTTGCTACATTGCAACAGTTACAACATTGTTCCTTTGTAAGTCTATTGGGCAGGGGTGCTGTTTGGCTAGCAATTTAGTTGTGTTTTATGACATTCTATGGTATCTTAATGATGTACATGAAGATAAAGTTTATCCGCATTTGCAGGTGGTCACTTGGTGCTATAATGTATGAAATGCTTGTAGGCTATCCTCCTTTTTATTCTGATGAACCCATGTCAACATGTAGGAAGGTGTGCTTTGGGCTTCTGTGAAATATTTTCTTTCTAGTTTTAACATCTTGTTTGATCACACTCTGGTTCTACTAATTTTCACCATATTGTTTTACTGGGTTACTTTTCAACTTTTTCTGAATAGACTATACATTCAACACCGAACTAATTAACTAAACGATCCATTTAATTTTACATAGAGAAATGTCACATTTACACGCACACAAGTCATAAGTAAATATAAAGTTCTGAAATCATTACATATGTTAACATCTTTGCTTTTGTACAAGCAGATAGTAAACTGGAAAACACATCTAAAGTTTCCTGAAGAAGCAAACCTATCTCCTGAAGCAAAAGATCTTATAAGCAAATTACTTTGTAATGTCAACCATAGGCTTGGATCAAAGGGCACAGATGAAATAAAGGTGTCGTATGGTGTGTCCTATGCAATGCTCTTGAATGAGTTAAAAGGGTTAATGTAAGAAAGTAAATCAGCAGTACGTGTTTTTGTTCTAGGTTCATCCCTGGTTTAAAGGAATCGACTGGGACAGAATATATCAGATGGAGGCTGCATTCATACCTGAAGTCAATGATGAGTTGGACACACAAAACTTTGAAAAGTTTGAAGATGTAATATATGGTTAATCCATTTTATCACACACAAATAAATAAATTGGGTTATTTGTTGTTTCTTTTTTCACGTTTCCCTCATCAGGTGACATTTTATTGTTCTCTTCATTGCAGTTGGAGTCACAAACTATTACTTCATCAAAATCGGGTCCATGGAGGAAGGTAATCAACCTGTGTTGCATCCATATAGGAATATAAATTCAAACATTCTTCTTTTAATTTAATTATTGGAACTTACATGATCTCATTTCTATTCATCATTTTACAGATGCTGTCATCTAAAGACGTTAACTTTGTGGGGTACACATACAAGAACTTTGAGATAGTCAATGATTATGAAGTTCCTGGAATGGGTACCTCTCTCTG